AGCTTACTGCCACTGACTTGCCATTTTTCTATACTGCAGACTCGAGACTTGCCTATGGTTAACCACCTCTGGTTGTGGATGTGTTTATGACTCTGTCTAGCTATATAAATGCACCGCAGTTTGGACACTGTTGTGAGATAGTGAGGTATAGATGCTATCCATGCCTGACTTTCCCACATCGCTGTTTACATGCAATAAATCTTCCATAGAGCAACAGATACACAAGCTCTTCTTTCTGTGGTGCCAGTTCAGTGTGTGTATGTGTACTGCATGTGTGTGGTGGGTTAATGGTGGGTGGATGAGCGATTGCTTTGTTTCATAGTGTATTATGATGTTGCTCTGTGTGTGTGTTAAGTAGATGCAGATGGAGGTGATGGTTAAATCCCAGCTTTCAATGTATGTGTGTGTGTGTGACGAGCAATTGTTTTTGTTTCATGGTGTGTGGGTTGAAAGTGTCTGAGAAAAGGAAAAACACAAATATCCCATTGTGTGTGTGTGTGTGTGTGTTGATAGCTCTTGTAGTGTATGGACCAATCAGACTCACCATTTGTCATTAGATATAACAAATCAATTATGCATTAGATTAACAAATACTCACAGACCCCTCACCCAATAAACATACTGGGTGCCAGGATGTCTACGAACGACACCAGGCCCCTGGTCACCATGGCAACCACAACACCTTTTGCTATACCAGATACACTTTACGACCTAATGGCATGTTGAGAGTTCTCCCTCTCACTACATTTTCCATAGGAAAGACACATAATGCACAGTAAAAATGGACTCTTCTCTAATTAATTCATAGGAAAACCTTTCTTTGAATGAACACACATATACTTCAGGTCATTGTGTATGTTGTTACTGTCCTTGCATATTGTCTTTTATATTGTATACTGTTTTATGCAGGCTTATGATAGAACCACTTGTTCATGTAATCTTACCTATATGCAATCCTACCATGTTTAGTATCTATGAATTTGTCTTCTGATGATCTAAACGAGAGTGTATATTATATGTTGGTACATAGGCAATATATCAGTATTCTAAGAATCTTTAGTAATTTGATTCGAGTTCCATTTGCAAATTACCATGCCCTCACACAAAGGGTCGTAAAACTCCCCAGTATCCAACCTCCCGCTTGAAACTTCAGCCTTTCTCATTGGACAAGCCCATCCTAAGAGGCGGGAATCTTCTCAGACTTTAAAAGGGCCCACGCACAGTTCCGCCCAGAGTTTTCTTTTTCTACTAAGTCTTCAGTCTGCAGTTCTGTTAGATTCTGAGAAGATAAGGATGTGAGCTAAAACGCTCTAAGGACACCCTAAGTCTGCGCCAGGCCTCGGCCTTGACTTTCCATTCACCAAGATCATCTGACACAAACTGGTTCTTTTTCATCAACCAACTTCAGCAAAGATCAACTTGAGCCTTCAGATTGCATCAGGACTCTCTATCAGACAGACAAGACGTGCAAGTATCAAACTTAGTCTTATTAATTGATACATTAAGTATCATTTGCACCTTTTACAAATATTCCACAGAAGGAGGTGGAATATTCTTCAGGGCTGTAGAGTAGATGGTACACCTGGTGTTAATATCCATATTTGGGTGATTCAATCACAAATGATCAATTACGATGTTTGCAATTAACTGTATACCAGGTATTTACATGTTAAAATGTATATCCAATGAATTTATTTAAAGGAATAGTTTGGCCAAAAATGAAAATTCGTTCATCATTTACTCACCCTCCTGTTGTTTCGAACCTGTATGAGTTTCTCTTCCTTCTGTGCCAGGTTATTATTGTTAAATAAATCTAAAACTTAAACATAAAAAGGTTTGTTACTTAAATATTAAATAAAATAAACTTTAACTGAAAGTTATTTGAAGTATTACATATGAATATTATATTATATTACAGTATATTATATTATATATGTAAATACTTAAAAACTAGTTGCAATATTTCTCATTTTAGTTAAGTTAAGTTCTCATCTAGTTTAACTTTAGGTACTAAAATTACAAAAACATATTAATTAATTTGATCAAAAATACAGTAATAAAGTCATTTTAATATGCTAATTTTAATTATTATCAATGTTGAAAACATCATATTTATATATGATAATGTTTTCAACATTATTATCAGTGTTTAAAACTGCTTAATATTTTTGCGGAAACCACAATATAATTTTTTTAATTGATCATTTTACTCAATATTTGTGTGTGCCATTCATTTGAATGCCTATTTAGAATACATTCTATCCAAAAATAATATTTTATGTTTCACAGTAGAAAGAAAGAAACACAGGTTTGCAACGACATGAGGGTGAGTAAATGATAACAGAATGTTAATTTTTTGTGTGAAAAACTCGATTCCAAGCTCCCAGCTCGCTAGGTTTTGGAACCGAGCAAATGTTAATATCAAGTGTAAGTAGGCTGCCACCGGTCATACAAAATGCCAAAAGGTGTGCATCCGAGTTCTGAAAATCAGCCAAAGGTATGACAAACAGACTCAAGTCCGCACGAAAAGCTCTAGTGTGAAAGCACCTTTAGTAATAATGGGCTCTCCAGAGATAAAAAGAAAGCTAGAGAAGGGGCAACTGTGTGTACTTTGTGAGTCAGAATGCTAGGAAGCGCAGAGGGACTTAATTCTTCACTGTAGGGAGGAGAATGTGAACTGTAAATCCTTCTGGGCTTCTCTTCTCATCGCTTCCATCTTTCCTCCGTTTCTCTCTTTCTCCATGGCAGATCATCTATATCAACACCCTTCTTTTGATTCTAAGCACATTTACGTTCATTCTCACTCCACAATCTCCGCCATTCTTTCTTTTCTGTCTCTCTCTCTATCTCCATCTCCTCTGTTTGCATGATGATGATGTTTTTCCCCTCCTGTTCTCCTGCATGGCTTGCCTCCTGCCTCCCTCCGCACGAAAAGCTCTAGTGTGAAAGCACCTTTAGTAATAATGGGCTCTCCAGAGATAAAAAGAAAGCTAGAGAAGGGGCAACTGTGTGTACTTTGTGAGTCAGAATGCTAGGAAGCGCAGAGGGACTTAATTCTTCACTGTAGGGAGGAGAATGTGAACTGTAAATCCTTCTGGGCTTCTCTTCTCATCGCTTCCATCTTTCCTCCGTTTCTCTCTTTCTCCATGGCAGATCATCTATATCAACACCCTTCTTTTGATTCTAAGCACATTTACGTTCATTCTCACTCCACAATCTCCGCCATTCTTTCTTTTCTGTCTCTCTCTCTATCTCCATCTCCTCTGTTTGCATGATGATGATGTTTTTCCCCTCCTGTTCTCCTGCATGGCTTGCCTCTGCCTCCCTTTCAATCGCCCCAGACAGCAAACCCCACACGTCTTTGATTCTGCGCTTGAAAAATGAAGATGGTGAACTTCAAAGGGAATGTTCTTCTGCTGATGCGTACCAGCCCACTCAACCTCTCTCCCGTCATTTTATCTGCCCAATCTTTTTCTCTCTTTCTCTCTCTCGCTCTTTGTGTCTCTTTCTCTCTTTTCTGTGTGTGAAACTAGCGTTACCTCCCTCTGTTAGTCTGTTTTTCATGCATACACATGCACACATATGCACTCTACAAAAAGTACTGTGGCAGTACAGTGATAGTATCAGATTAAAATGCCATGATTTTATTATATATACCATGTAGGTTGTATGGCACAATTTTTTATGTAGTTTTTGTCTTTTTTTAATGTATTACTTGTTTTACAAATCTATCTATCTATCTATCTATCTATCTATCTATCTATCTGTCTATCTGTCTATCTGTCTGTCTGTCTGTCTGTCTGTCTGTCTGTTAAAAAGTGACAGTAAAAACATTTAAAATGCTACAAAATGTTATTACTTAAACACCAAATCAGCATGATGAAGGGATTTCTGAAAGATCATGTGACACTGAAGAATGGAGTAATGGCTGCTGAAAATTCTGCTATGCCATAGGAATAAACACATTTTGAAAATATATTAAGAAAGAAGCAGTTATTTTAAATTAAATTAAACAAAATTACTGTTTTTACTGTATATTTGATCAAATAAATGCAGTCATGGTGAGCATAATATATGTATTTATTATTACTATTACTATTATTATTATTATTAAATTTACATTTGAATTTCTGTAGTACATCCCTTATAAAAAAACTACCAAGGTATTTCAGGATTTTACTTTGGTACCACCAAGGTATTTTAGATTTGGTACCATGAACTTCAGTACTATGGTATATTTCAAAATACCTCAGTATTACCATCTAATATTGCCACTGTACCATAGGACATCACAGTACTTTTTGTAAGGTTATGCTGTGCTATAGACCATGGTATTTATTTACGTCTCTCTGCAGCCTCTTTCTTCTCACATTAAGAAATTTCAGCTCAAATCAATATTCAATGTCCATTTATTTATTTATTTGGTAAGAAGTCATGTAATCAGCTAAATTATGCACAGTCTGCCAGTCATTATTGCAAAATGACCCCCTTCAGGGTGATATAAGACCACTCTGTTTCAAGTAAGGGTCTTGATTACCAGTCAAGGTTTATTTTGCATCTCTACATTATCCCTTATGTATTCATTATGCGGTGCTTATGTATAATGTAATTGTGCTGCTGTTCCCATTATCTTCTCCTACTCTAAACTTCTAGCTATCGTTCGCTCTCTCCCTCTGTGAGTTTGTCTTTGAATGTGTTTGTGCATAGTCACAGATAAGTGTGGCATAATCCCATCTACCTGCCACGCCAAACTGAGCATGCTGAGCACTTTTACATAGTTTATTTTTACCTGCCTCTCTCCTTTAGCTGTCAGTCAATGCCGAGCTCTCAGCGGCACTGACAGAAGACGCTCGACTCGCCCCTTATTCTCCTAGTCGCAATCAAGACACACAGTGTCTCTAATTACAGAGCCTGTAAACCTGTCGTTTCAGAACCACGGAGTAACACAAATATGGTGCTAGACTGAGAGAAACTGGGAGAAGAAAAACAAAGCAGGTTACCTCTAAAGTTGACGTGAAGTAGAAAGTCCCGGTAGAGTTTCCTGCCGTCAAGACTCCGCATGGCGTCGCACAAGCGTGTGGTGTTGGCACAAAGAGTTCTTTGCATTCGATGCAAGGCGTGTGCCATGGCGTATACGGCATTTACGACAAACATGATCTTTGATTCGGGCTCAAAATTTGACTTGTCGATAGTAAGTTCTGGGTCACAAGGTGGCTTTGGGGTTCCCGCCCCTGCTGCCGAAGCACTGCCCAATGAACACTGAAACTTTTGCTCCCAGAAGTCTTTGAACCAAGGGTTGCGGTGATTATTAAGGGGTGTGAGGCTCTGGAAGTAGCGGTTGAACTCTGGTATAGGATGAGCCGCGAGCTCCAACGTGATAGCACCATCCGCCGTGAATTCGTTCCCTTTGACGATGCTCTCTTGCGCCCCCCATCCGTCGCTCGCCACCCAGAGGAAAGATGCATTGAGGTGGGCGGCAGCAGCGATGAGTTCTCGTGCATCGTCGCTACGCAAAAACAGCACTGCCACACGGGCCGTGGGCTTTTGTAGAAGCTGACGAACCACCGCCTCATACGAAGAGCGTTTCGCGCTCGACCGTCCCACTTTTTCCGAAGTAGCTATACAGATGTTTCTTAAACGGGCTTGTTGCTCGAAGGCTTCAATTCCTGTTTCTCCGTAGTCACCCTCTGAGGCAACGGTGGAAACATAGGTCCAGTTGAAGGCACGCAGGATCTCCGCCATGGCCTTGGCCTGGTAGAAGTCTGGCGGGACGGTGCGTGCAAAGTAGTCGTAGCGAGATTTGTCGCTGAGTTTGGCACTGGTACTGGCGTAGCTGATCTGAGGTATCTGAAATAGCCGCAGTAGGTTGGCAACCTGGCAGAAACACACGCACAAACATACAACATTACAAACCCTGATTCAATCAATAAGTCAGCACCTTAAGAATTAATTATCCAAAGTCTATGATACATAAAGTATTCTTTTTTTAGTCATTTGATTGGATCAAGCCACATTAGCCCAATTAAGAGGATGCAGGCAGCCTCAGCAGGGCTGAGCAGCATGGAAATGTTTCTCTTTAGTGAGACGCAGCTTGGCTCTTCCATATCACACATCCCACGCACAGAAATGTACAGGATAACGTCTCTTTTCCTGCATAACACTGACACTGGCATGCACAATGACAGCTCGTAGCTCTGAATCAAATCTTTATGTCAAAGCTAGGATAAAACTTGCAGTTCGGTCCTGTTGTATGCAATGTTTATTTTGTGATTTGGGATGCTCACAGATATGTGTTCTACATATGAAAGTAACGTTTGCAAAATGCTTAAAAAAGAGTTGCTGACACTTTGTTGATGTTTAGGTGTAAGTAGAGATTAAAGTCAACTTGAAATCAAAATTGAACATTTTATTTTCTTCATGCACATTCCTGGTGTTATTGTGATCGATCAGAACATGTTATTACAACGGTAAAAAAAAGAAGAAGTTTAAATCAAGTCCCATCCTACTTTTCTTTTTTGCTGACATCACTGAGGCCATGCATGCTATTGGCTCATTTTAACCGGTTTAGGCATTGTTTTAGCAAATTTGAATTCTTCATTCTGCTATGTAACACCCATTTTTCACCTTATGAATAGGTTGTTCAATGAGAAAAAAATTAGGGTGGGACTTCATTCTGTTGCTTTCTGAAATCCAAAACCGTTTACAAGTTTGAGTTTTTTTTTTCTCTTTCAAAGCTGAATTTATTTGATAAAAAATTCAGTAAAAACACCAATATTATAAAATATTATTACAATTTAAAATAACAGTTTTCTTTTGGAATATATTTTAAAATATAATTTTTTCCTCTGATGGCAAAGCTGATTTTTCAGCATCATCAGTGTCACATGATCTTTCAGAAATCAGTCTAATATGCTGATTTGCAGCATATTTTAATGTAAAAAACAATGTAAATGTTTCTCACTTTTGATCAATTTAATGCATTCTCGCTGATTAAATGTATTAATTTCTTCCATAAATAATAAATCTTATTAACCCCAAACTTTTGAACAGCAGACTTTAATGAGAAGACAATAATCCAAATAGGATTTAAAGAAAAAGCTGTCTAAAGATAAGTCCCACAAAAGCAAAAATGACCTTGTTTTTTCAGTTTGATGGGAAGTAAACCTGTATTACTTTATCCCATTGAATGCTGAGATATGATGTAACTTAAAAGAATATGGAGGAATGAAGGACAGGAGAGAGAGAGTCTGCCAGAGAGAGGAAGGCGGGATTGTCAAACAACAGCTGGTGTCGTGTGAAAAAAACAATGTCCAGTTGCCGGCGATGAAAGGAGAGCGATGGATAACAATGGTTATCTAACGAGAGACCACTGTGTGAGGTCACAATTCTCCCAGCTCTTTGCCAGAAACAGAGCAATATTGCTAAATAAAACTGCAGGAAGACAAGGAAAAAAGAGTGACCGGGAACAAGAAAAAGACAGAGAGAGGGAACAAGAAGAAAGGAGGGTTAGACAGATTACGGATTTTGGAACTGATAGAGGAAGCCAGCTTTTGCTGAGCCACAAATGGGGAGAGGGTTATGCAAAATTATGCAAATTCCCATGGCTCTGTCACCAGTGGTACTAGAAAGTAACAACGCACAACAGACACAATAGTATAGCCGCAGTGCTAATCCGTGCACGGACTCGAGGAAAGGAAAGAGCAAACTGGATGTACAGGAGCGAAGAATGGAAACGGGGGTGGCGCAGAGTTTTATTTGAGGGCGGCCCTCTAAATAATGGATTGAGTTCTTCGTAGTTGGTCAGGAAAAAGAGCTGTGTTGTTTTTTTGCCAAGTGGTTTTCTAGAGGGTAAAGAACAAATTTGTGATTCTGAACTTGCAAATAATTCAGTAATATTGATGAATTCATCCAAACTGTATACATATAAAATAGGTTTATTTAGGTGACCGTGCTCAAAATGTGAACTGGAAGATCTCAAGGGAGGTTAATTTTTGTGAATTACATGAGCTAATTAAACTCTGCTCTTGAACATTTTTTGCAACTTTATTTCATTGCATATTTTAAATTTGTGAAATCAGACTATGTTTAATCCATTTGTTTGGGACTATATGGAACACTATATAAATATTTTAGATTATTTTTTTTAAATTAATGAAATAGGTTTTTTAATTATTATGACCTGTCTATGTTTATTTAGCTTAATTATATTTAAATTGAAATGTTAAAATAATGTTGTTTCCTTATTTCTTGTAGTATTCCTTAATTTATTTATTCCATAAACAGTTTATTATTTTAATGTATTCAAGTAGTTAGAAGCTGTTTTGTTCCTATAGATTTGTTCCTATAGATCTGTTCGGGCATGTCATAAACTTGTAGGTTGCTTATTACACACACACACACACACACACACACACACACACAAAACACAAACAAACAATGTAGATAAATCAATGAGTAAGTTTTGGACGAAAATGCTATTTCAAAAATACTGTTACTAGAAAATACTATTTCAGTCTTTCAGTCTTCATTACTTGTTGTTTCTTTGTAATTAATTTACTTTGTTATTTTTTATTTTCAAGCTATTATTGAGTGAAACTAGTTTATTTCAGGCATTTTTTTCAGTGTACTTACCTTCTTTATTTGTTGATTTCTTTAGATATTTGGACGTTTCGTTTTACTACATAAATTACACAAAATCATATTTCAAATATGAAATTTAAGCTTTTTAACCTAAGTTGCTAACAATATTTAATTTATTCAATAAACAGTTAATTATTTTAATGATTTTTTAAAATTTTTAGTAAAAACTAAAAAGTAATTGCAAAATTGTCTATGTCTTACGAAGAAATGTAGTATATATAGTGTAGTAATATTTTTAATACTCTGTTAAAGTAGACATATGCATGTAATCTGGCATGTTGCATGGTAGGGCATATGCAAAAACGAATTATTTTTTGATGTTTAATTTTAGTAAAACTTTTCTCATTAATTAATTAAATATTAATAAATTGTATTATTTTGTGTATTTTTCATTTAGATTAAATTGACTGGTTCTGACCTGTATGGAGACACTGCTAAATGATCCCCCAATGACACCGGCTATGGCCAGTGGACTGTCTTCCTGAAGAGCGTAGGATCCATCAGGACAGATGAACTCTGTATCATCCACTTTTGTAAGCGAAGCCCTAACAAACTCCAGCGCCTGTTCCAGAGCGTAGGTGTCCCTCGAGCAGGTGTCCAGGATGTGGACGCCCAAAGCCACACCTGGTAGCAGACCTAAGTCCTGGTTGATCTGATCTATGGCGAAGAGCATTGCCTCAAGCCGCTGGATGCCACGGCCTTCATTGATCTGGCCACATTCGTCCATGCCCATGCCCTTCTCATGGATGGGGAAGAGGCCTCCCAGAACCAGGTCCCCATCGATCTTAATTTCTTTGCGGGGAGAGTCTCCGCTGGAGAGCAGGACTCCGGTACCCAGCAGCACCAGGAGCAGAGCACGGACCGCAGACCACATCATTTAAGGGAAGAAGATTGAGGAGGTGTAACGGTCAGGTGGGGAGAGAGAGGGTGAAAGGTGGGCGTCAAGGAACTGAGAGAGGCATGAAGGGGAAGCAGGGAGCTCTGTCTGGTTACTCATGGAGACCACAACACTGGGTTCAGCCTTTGAACTGCAAAGAAACACACAGAGAGAAAGAGACTATAAGGCAAGGAGACAGACTTGAAATGTTGAAGTGTTGAAATATAAATGTGAGAAATCCTAATGCTCAATATGGCAGCTGTAGGACTACTTGCCTTTCAGTTAAAAATGTGTTTACTCTAGAAAGCACATAAACTGGACAAGCCTGAAAAATACAGGTTGCTCTTAGCCTTAGGAGCAAATCGTATTTGAAATATGTAAGTGACATGTAATCTTGACAAACAGTTTTGGAGATTTCAGACTTATCCCAGTCAAGTAGTTTGATTTGATTTGATTTATGTACTTATTTACCTAATTTATTTATTTACATTATTTATTTATTTCGATATTTGGACATTTTGTTTTACTACAAAAATTACACAAAATCATACCTCAAATGTGAATTTTGAAGTTAATTTTTTTTTAACATAAGTTGCTAACAAGTTGCTGTAGAAGAACTGCAATAGTTGTGTGATTTGTCAAGCATATTTGTTGCTTGACAACAAATTTAGTTCACCAAATTTTTATCTCACCCTTGAGTTTTCCAAACGAGTTTCTTTCTACTGCTGAACTTAAAAGAAGATATTTTGAAGAATGTGTGTAACCAAACAGTTGCTGGTCCTCATTGACTTCCATAGTATGGAAACAAAATACTATGGAAGTCAGTAGGGACCAAATCCTGTTTGGTTACACGCATTCTTCAAAATATCTTCTTTTGAGTTAAGCAGAAGGAGGAAATTCATACATGTTTTGAACAACTTGAGGATGAGCAAATAATGATATAAGTTTCATTTGTGAGTGAACTATCCCTTTAATTAATGTAAATAAGTTGAATAGTTGTCTGATTCTGGTATATAAAATACATGTTTAATACATGTTTACAAAATACATGATACATGTTTGCTATATTAAAGTACATGTTTATTGTATAACTGTGCAATTATGTAGTAGAACAAAATGTCCAAGTATCTTCTATAGCATTGCTTTCCACAGACCTTATTTTACTTATAAATCCAAAACTGTCCTTATAAAATCCCAAAGGACAATCCAGAGGGAATGTGTAGGTCAAAAATGCTAATTCTCTTCTGGGTTTTTAGACTACCACCTGAACAGCTCTATTACCTGCATAGGAAAATCTACCCAGGGGCGTTTCAAACCTTGCTTGAACTGAATTAAATAGGCTTTTGTTAGTCATATGAAGAGACTCAGACTTGAGCATTAGACATTTCAGTGCTCTCCTGTGTTTTGCAGTGTCAGTTTGTTCTCTGTAATCACAGTGCTCTGTTTAGAGTTGAAAGAAGATTGTCTGAAAAACCAACCTGCCAAATGTACAACATGCGCGCACAGACAAACGAGTCTCAACAAATTCACTTAACACTAACTCCTCCGCGCCTTCCGTACTCTTACCAACAAATTTGTCAAAACAGATTCTCAAGGATGGAAAACACATGAGAAACATAAATTAATCAGCACAGAAGCTCAGACAGATGATGCAACTGTTTAGCTGATTGAGGACAAAAACTTTGTATCCATTAGTGCGGTTTATTTATTTAAATTAGTTTATTGTTTTTTAACCCTCAATTCACTAAAGGAATTATGCTAATCAGGTAATTATGTTATCATGAACACATTTATTTGAATTAATTACTGCTTCTATGATCAATAGAAAATGGATGCAGGTGTCTCTTTTGAATAGTAAATTGAATCCAAAATTACTTTTGCTGCCTGTTTTTTCCCCTTAATTTGCTTAATTAGAATGAGCTAAAGCAACACAATTCATGGACATTTCACTTAAATTAAAAAAAATAATTAAACATAATGAAATTAAGTTGTGACAAAAAGTTCAAGAATTGTTGCTTAGCTCATTGCATTTGAGTAAACGGCCACAATTTTATGTTGGGATCTCAAGCAAGCAATTATTTTGCCCAAACTAAGTTCCATTCAGCTGTGTGGAAATGTCATAAGTTTATTAAGTTTAAGCCTAGTGAACTTTTTTTGAGTCTGTGTTAAAGCACTAAATTCAACAGTGCATGACGAAGTATTACGTAAGCGCAGATTGTGCCTGGTTAAGGTTTTTTGCTCTAAAGTGGTGCAACGGTTTGTGAATTTGCCTGAGAAAATCATGTCTGGGGAGAGTGTGAGAAACTATTGTAAAGCTAAATCCATGATGTCCTGTTATGTAACATCTTTTGCTTTCCCTTCCTCAAATGAGCATTAATGTTTCTTCCTTGTTAGTATGGAGTTGATTTCCCCCTTGTTAATGGAGCTCAGATGACAGAAGTATGAAATACTAATTAAATCCTGAAACTATGACTTTTAGAAAATGCTACAAATTTAGCCGCCTGATAAATAGCTTCTCGGAGAGCTAAGCGAAAGGCACTAATTGTTAAATCTGACGCCGGGTATGTGCGTCTCTCCATTTGTGCTGAAACCGTGCAGCCTTGATATCTAAGCCTGCGTTTTTGATCTTAGGGCTTGGGAAAAAACGTCTCTAATCTGATTTCCTCTTCCACTTTTTCTTGCAGAAGGGTGGGCGAGCGCAGGCAGTGGCAGCGATGATTGTGGGTGGGGTGGGGGGTGGCTGGGTTTATGAGGTGTGTGCGATGACTTGCCGGGTTGCCACGGCTCTGGCAGCTACACAAAGGCTCACAGCCTGGCCGGGAGATGGCTCCAAGGCTGGATAACACTCAACCGCAGTGATGCTATCTCCACCGTGCAATGCAACACAAAGCACAACACGCAGGCCTCTGGCAGCATCGCACTAACGGCAGCTTTCCTCATTATCTTCTTCCGTGATTTAGTTTGCCAGCCGAACAGCAACAATGGTGTTCTCGCTGGGCAAAAGCTATGCGGCCGCCGCCGGTTTAAAGTGCCTCCACTTGCTTGCGCTCTTCCTTTCTCTCCTGAGAGGTCAGCAGGAGATCTGGAGGGCCGGAGGGGAGGGGAGGGAGAGCGCTTTCTGCTTTGATGACAGACTCTTGGACTCTTCAGAAGTGGACTGGTGTTGTTTTAACACACTGAGTCTCTGGGGCCACACTGGGTGCGAGAAAATTCATGCCCGCTTCCCCCCTCACACCCTGACGCTGAGCATAACTGAGTGAGAATGCGAGGAGAACGTGTGAGCGGCCCTATCAGACATTATCTATCTATCTATCTATCTATCTATCTATCTATCTATCTATCTATCTATCTATCTATCTGTCTATCTGTCTATCTGTCTATCTGTCTATCTGTCTGTCTGTCTGTCTGTCTGTCTGTCTGTCTGTCTGTCTGTCTGTCTGTCTGTCTGTCGTTCTATCTATTTATCATTCTATCTTTTATTTGATCCTTCTATCTATAATTCTATCTGTCATTTTATGTGTAAGGCCTAAAAAAACCTTTAAACTTAATGGTTTTATTTTTTTCAGCTTTCAAATATGATGTGATAGGATTTTATCATGTCTACATTTAAAGTTTGCCAAAATTTTATAGTTAAATATTACAGTTAAATAAGTCTACATTTCAGCTAACTTCCCTACATTAATTAAAAGGATAGTTCACACAAGAATAAAAATTCTGAATGAATGAATGAATGATGCATTTATATGGCGCTTTCTTGTGTATTGTTGTACACCCAAAGCGCTTTACAAACATGTGGGGGGGGGGGGGGGGGC